TGGCTGCCCTGCCCTGCCAGCTCCCAGCTCCCAATCATTTTTTCACTTGATGGAACAAGAAAAAAACAATGCTGGTGAACATTAGATATGTGATGTTTGCAAAGTGGCTTTTTTTGCCACTCTAAACATCTCATGAGGATGGCTGGCTGCCCACTTTCTCTATCTGTATAGCTGCAATTGCCCACTATCTTCTGGCTGCAAGGGTATACTGAGTGTGAAGTTTTAGCTTCATATTGAACTAAATGTTCAGGGTGTGTGGTGGAAGTCAGCCAGGTCACTGATACTGGATGCAGTAACCCAGACTTCAGCGACAGCAGAGCAGTGGAGGACTTCATAGACTGAATATGGCCAACACTGCTCGCTTCTCTGCACGCCCAGTAAACTCAGAAACCAGAAATCAGTGACTGTGACCAATGGAGGAAGTATTAACTTCTCCAAGTTTTGATAGATGAGTCATGTTCTGCTCTTAAGTCTTTCTTTTTCCCTTTTTGTACATAGAAAGCATATTTGTTTCTTTGCATTGGGGCCATTTTGCTGTATTTATTATTCTGCAGCAGGGTCCATGAGTTGCCCATGCAGCAAATTAATGAGCCTTCTACTCTGTAACTCTATGGTGCCCAAAGCTTTCTTACGAATTGGTCATAGTACAGAACTGCTGGAGAGAAGTATAATTGCAGTCTCTGGAAAAAAAAAATCTTTGATTCAGGAAAATAAATAAGCGTGTGCAAAGCCCCCCACTGAGTCTCATTCAGTTTAATGACAGTCACTTGCTTAAATGGTTTCCTGAACTGGAGCCAAAGAGTGAAGGTTGAGGGGTCAGATAGCATATACTCCTGAAATAAGAAAATACGAATCAAGATTTTGATGAACACTGAATCCTAGAGCCTCTGTGGATAGATCCCTTAGAGAGAGCTGCTGTGACAAAGCAAACTCATGAGAAGTTCAGTAAAAATTTGAATGGCTTATGGGATTAGACAGTGGGACACAGACCTTTTCAGGCCAATGATTTTTAGAATCCCTTTTAAAAGTATAACAAAACAAATGAAACCATGAGATGGGCTGTTTCATTTCATTTTAGATAATTTTTTAGCAGAAAGGTATTCACGACTGAAGAACTAATGATGTAATAGCATCACAGAAAAAAAAGCTGGGATGGGAGGAACATGAAAATTGACCTTTTTTAATATTGATATTACAGATCAAATATGAGACAATCTTAATGGAACAGCTCACAAAACCTCATACAATTGCCCATCTGGTATCTGGTGGCACTAAATGAAATTTTCCAGGGTCATTTTTAAAGCACATTTCAAAGCATAAAATTCAGTTAAAATATGAATCAACAAAAAGGCAAATAATTTAAGTTACAACTTGCAAAGCCAAGGCTAGTTCATTCTGTGTATCTTCTTTAACCTACAGAATGTGATGATAAACAGAAGAACATTCAAATGGATAGCCTCTGCTTTTTTAAAAAATGTTTCTTTTCTTCCCTGGTTGAAATTAATTTTCTCTGGAAGGAATACTTACAGCAGTTTGAAATCCATTTACAGACAGGAAGTTCACAAATTTCATAACCTCCACTGCTGTGTCCACTGAATAGGTTATGAAGACCTTGCCTGGGAGAGAAAGTCCATATGAATATGAAACACATTTAAATATACCACTCAGAGGGTGAGACTGTCACAGCCCTCCTTTTCCTGCTGTTCCAGAACTGCAGGTTCTGCCCCACTTCGGTTTCTTAGGATTATTTACAAAATGCATGTGGGATAGTGCAGTGCCTTGGTGTTGAAATCTGCCCCCTGTACAGAACCTTGCTGTAGATTTGAGGTCCTACTGCCTTGTTGCTGGCAAGCTGCAGAGGGTAACATCACTCTGCTGCTCACTGTGCCCTGCAGCCAGAACTGCTTTTCCCCAGCCCTTTGGCATAAGTGAGGCTGGGCTCTCACCCAGAGCTCCTGCTGCCTGCACTGGCTGCAACCAGCACAACTTTCCCCCAGACTCCACTGATCTGATACGGAGCTGGAGGGGCCCTTATGCCATACTGCCTCACCTTGCAGCAGCATTAACCCCCTCTGCAGGCAGGATGCATAGCTGATGACAACAAGGCCTTCAGCTGTCCTTGCCCTTGTGGAAGGGCTTTCTATACTAACTAAAGAATCATGGATTTGCACCGGGGTAAACCAGCTGGCTAATCTAACCCAGCTGAGCATGTACCACAAATGACACTGTTTTATCCAGTAATTCCTCCATCTAACTGATAAAGTAGGGTATATCCAAGAGTGGCACCTGGTATTGTAACTCACTCCTACAGGCCAGAGAGATGCAACTCTCTGGAGTAGAAAGGTGATGTGCAAAATGAAGACAAAAGGAAGAATCAAAACCTCAGGAGATGTGGAGGGTTCTTAGCAATGGTACCTCTCACCTACTAGCCACCTTGGCATTAAGAAGGAACTCATTTTTCTGAAACCTGACTTTCTTGTATGAGTTGAAGGTGAATGTGTTTGTGGGGCTGGTGGCAATAAAAGCACCTCAGCCAGAATCTCTGCTGCCCTCAGCATGGGTTCCTGACCCAAAGTCTTCTCCATTCACCAGGTCAGGGAGAAACTGGCTTCAAGGCTCAACATATTTGTCTCATTTGGGACAGGCAGCAATGCTTTATCCCTAGGACTTTGTTTGTTATTAGGCTTTTACTGTAAGCTTCAGCCCCTCCTGCCTCAGAGGCACATCCTGTTTAGCAAGGAGTCATGAAAACAACCTAAACAGTGTTTACTTTTTGTAAACAAAATAACAAGCAATTTAATTTAACAAGCAATGACAATTACATTTTCAGTATTCAAGGGAATAATTCCATCCCACAGAACACAGACACACCCTACAGATGTGATGACACTCACTCTTTTCTTGTTGTCTTTGTGTCAGTGTCATTCCCCCTGCCATTTCCTGCCCCCTTCCCTCTTCTGGAGCTTTCCCACCTAAAACTGTTAGTCTGCGCTGTAAAATCTTGCACAGAACAAATTTGCTAACCAACCACTTACGCAACTCCTCCGGCAAATTGCTGGTTCTGAGAGTTCCCTTGGCTGCAGGGTTACTGAGAGGTCTTGGGACAGCAGCTGGAGATGGAAAATTGTCAGAAGGACAACCGCATGCTTCATCCGGGCCACATGCCTTGGGTGGCATCTGACCATTAGGCAGCTGGTTGTATAGCTGGTTTCTACAAAGAAAAGCAAGTGGGGGTTTTAAAAATACTTATTTTCAGGCAAAATTCAGAATTTCAGAATTTTTTTATTCTTTTAATAACACATTAAGAACTTGATCTACATATTATCTAGGAAAAGTTCTTGTAGAGATGCTTGACTCAGCATAGCTACTAAGTTATTACAGCATCTTTTGAATGGATACTTTGGTGACAGTCTACCTCAAGAAGCAGTTTATTGCTGAAGCAACATCAATCACAGGAAGTAAGTCACATCATAGCTGAAAGCTGTTCATCTTGCAATTAGCAGAAGCAAAGGCCATTTCTGAGCGAGAAATAGTGCGGTGTGGATGTTGTTATGCATGTATGGGAGCAGGGTGGCCCTGGGTAACCTCTTCCCATTATCTAAGGGGTGCTTCATGGCACCTCACATGCTCTCACGATATCCTGTGCAGCACAGGAGGCACAGAGCAAGGTGGGAATTGGGAAAAATGGGGCTACAAGGGCACTCCACCTCCAGCTCTGGAGGGTCTCCAGTTCTGGACAAACACGAAGTTTTCCTAAAGGATACAAAGTTAATTTCTTGACCAGGAATGGCAAAACCCAAATAAGGCTTTCTCATGTCACGGGCTGGAGATCCAGACGTGCAATAATCTTGCCTAACATCTTCATTGTAGTGAACAGACAGAAAGGTATGTTTTTGGAAGCTTAGCAGTTCCTGTCTTGTGACACTCTGGCTTCACAGTTTAAGAGATTTTTATGTGAGGTGTGCTGGGAATCTGCTGGGTTGAATCTGTTGGATGAGCATTAGGTTTCTCTGAGAGCTTTTCCCCACAGAGCTGTGATGTTTAGTCAGTCAAGACCACTCTCTTTTTTTCTTAGCCTTCCTTAAATGAATGATGACAGGCTGGTCACAGCATGTTTTCTGTTGTCACATTAAGATTTGGTTTATTCATTTCGGTGCAGATGTTTTCTGTTACAAAATACTCTATAGGCAAATATTACCAACATATAACTGCTGTTCCGGGAATCAGCTTGCAAACACCAGTCACGCAGCCACAGGACAGACCCCGGATACTCTGGATCTCTTTTAGCATATAAAAGCAAAACGCACCTCAACAATGGCCACAAAAAACCTACCCTGTGGCTAATTTACAGATCTTCCCCAAACTTCACTTTATCTAAAAAATGTGCCAAAAATTATGAGTCTGTTTTTAAATTTTACTACTGCAAAGGACACCCACTATTCCCCGACATTTTTACATTTCCATACAAACTCTTCAGTGCAATTCTCTCTGCTGCAGAGAGAATTGCCTTATCTTGCTGTCACTTTTCTGTCACAGCCCCTAACTTTTCACAGGCCAGAGCAGAGCAATATTTCAGTCATCTGCCCTCCTTTGTCCTGCCTATTCTCCCAGTTTCCTGCCAAGACCATGTCACATAAGTGGACATTTTCAAGTACAGATGCCTGTAAGTTTAACACCACTGAAAGTATTGTGGCACTTAAATAAAAACGGTCTGATTTCAAATATCCTCAATATCTGAAGCTTCAATTTGTTTTTAGGTAACAGACTCTGGAAGTAAAAAGTCCTGCATGGATAGGTTTCCCATCTGCTAATGATGTACATATAAGGATATGAGGCCTGGTAAATTAATATTTGAAAACCAGTCAAAAACCCCTGGATGAAAAGTGCCAGATGTGTGGTGTTATACTACTACATGAAAAATCATAGAAAAGGCTGCAAACTGCAGTGTAGAGATATATCAGCAATTGATGAGGTTTTCTCCCTTTTTCTCTGCACCACAGAAGAGAGAAGAAGGAAATCACCGGAAGCCAATGACTGAGTTGTCCCAGGCTGGTACAGAGCAAAGCTGAAGACCACAGTGAGCCACCAAATTGACCTTTGCCCTTGAGCAGGAGAGCTCTAAGGTTTCAACTGAGATATTTTTCAACCCTTCATCCCTTTAACCTTCAAGCATTTATCTTACTTAATGTGTGCATTTCAGAGTGTGCTGTAACAACATATCAGGTATCTGGCTTTGAAGTTCTCTAAGGTAAGGTCAGGCCCCCATTGGGTGTAAAATAGCAAATAAAGAAAACGACCCAGCATCTCACATGCCCCCCTGCAGCCCGGGCACACTCACAGTACAAGGATTCAGAATTACTGGCTGGAGCTTCCAGATTCCCCAACCCCCAGTGCTCCCAGGCATACTTACGGGAATCGAGGAGGACCAGGGGAGGAGCATGTCCTCTGGGGTGGTGGTCGGTCTCCAGTGCCCTTGGGAGCACGAAGGTTTGAGTAATTTGGGATGACTTGCTGGGCTGGGCGGATAACTCTCATGCAAGGTCCAGGAACAGGAGGAAGTGGTTGCGATGTCTGTACAAAATGTTGGTAAGGAGCTCTGCCGTCTGGGAGGGTGAGAAAATAAAGGCAGCAACTATCATTTCAGCCAACACATTTTTGCCTCAGTTTGTGTTTATTCCTTTCCAGGCACCTCCTCCTTCATGTCTCAGGAAACTGAGCAGTTTGGAGGCATTTGCAGGTATCTCACTCTGGAAGAAGCCAGATGAAGGAACATTTTATAGTTTGAAGCTTTCTATTTTCCATTCACATCTGAACCTGGCATGGTTCAGATCCTCGCTCTGGGTTGGGCTGTTGGGACAACTGACAGTAAAACATTCAGGGCTGCTTTGTCCCTGCACTTACCATGCCTCAGTGTTTTTCAGTAGGGGTTGGGGGTTTTTTTAAATTTTTTTTTTGGCAATAACTTGTAAAAATGAATCATCCCAAAGTTCTCATGAAAGCAGATGCAAAATCCTGGAACAAATCAGTTTGCAACACTAAGGCTAAACAGACCGTGATTATTGTAAATGAAAAGAGAAAAAGTAATCTCTTAGTTTGTTACTTCACCCTGTGTGAATTTTCTGCTGAAGTGACTTTTTAAGGCCTTGCTGCTGCTCCCATTGCCATCCAGGAGGCTGCAGGGGAAGCCCAAAGTGACGATTTTGTTCAAGTAATTCTGAAAAATCCCTCACTGTTACTGAGCACAAGCACATAATGCTGTTCAATAACTAATGTACAGTGGAACTGTTGGCATAAACTGAAAGAGAAAGCAATGTAAGCTGTTTGCTTTTCAAATGGGGAACAGTAATTTTTTTCCCCCCAGTCTTTCTGCTTGCAGTTTTCATTAGGCAGCAGCTCCATGCACCTTCAAACTGCTGTGTGCAGATCAAAGTCCAGCCTGGCAGCGCTTACTAGCACTGCTTGATTAAGGTGTTAAGAGTTGATTCTGAAAGCTGCACTACTCAAATGCTCTTTCCCCCCAAAACTATTTTTTTAAAATCCTTTTAGCTTTTTTGGGGTCATGCTTTCCTATCCCTAGCAGCCGTGAGGACTATCGTTTTTTTTTTAAAGTGAAGGAAAAAAGAAAGAAAACAAAGCTTTGATTAAATAGTCCAATTCCAGAGGTCAATAACAAAAAACCCCCAACCAACCAACCCTATAATTACAAAGACTTTCCTGATGAAATTGTGAGTTGGCAACATTGCATTTGTTGAGATTGTTTTAGATTTTCCCACTCCCCCTCTTAACTGTTTGCAACAGGGCAGGGTGAAAAGGGCTGGGAGAATAATATTACAAATCAGTATGGTTTTCTCATGGATTCCTCATGACCAGCTCTAGGGAAGATGGAAGGGATCTGGGAGACTCAGTTTGGTTTAGAGGTTTTAAGGCCAGTGTTTCACTGGCTTCCTTTGGATCTGTCTGATCCACAGCACTTTAATGGTGAAGTCACTGCCCTTCAAAGCACAACGTGGCCAGGGAAATATGCCCCCATACACCGACACACCTCTCATTTAGAGATACCTGAAATAATCATCCCCGGGCACATAGCATTGTTGCGAGAATGTCTTTGACTTCAGAAGCAGTTTTGCTTTTGTATCTCAAATAGCAGGTGTCCGGAGCCAGTTTAGAGCCTCCAGGCACAATTGCTATTCCCCAGGGGAGGCATGTTGCAACACACAAACTGCAGAGCTTTGTTGTGGGTTGCCACTGCCCAACAATTATCTGAAACGCAAGGAGCTGTCGAGGTGATTTATGCTGTACCAGGCATGTGAGAAACAGGAGTAAAGTTGCCCGCTTCTTGGTCCTGACCAAATCTGCTCCAGCCATCTGAGTTTATTTTACTCTTTTTGCCCTCTGGATATGGTTGAAATGGTAGCGATTTTTCTAAAGAAAGCCTTTCAGAGTTCCTGCTTTCAAACAAAATGTCCCCATTCAGTTAAATGTCCTACTTCTCATGATGCCCACTTGTGGAGGAGGTAAATGGATGTAAATAGTGAGGGGTGTTGTGCAACCAGCTCTTTGTCTGCTGAAAGCTGAACTGAAAGGAGAAGGTACGAAAAGAAAAGCAGAGGACATTTTCCAAATGTTAAGCTGTAGGAGCTGTTGAAAGTCCATCTGTAGCCCCTTCCCCTTTATGAAGTTCCAAAATTAGAGCTGGAAACCGAGTTTCTGAAACCCCCTCTCTTTCATATACCTAATTATAGCACATTGCTGGAATGACAAAACTCTTTAAACAGCTGTAGAGTCAACAGAAGGTTAAAAAAAAATAATAAAGGGTTATCAGCACAGGCTTACAGCTTTTTATTACAAAGCCAGCCCAAAACAGGTCGGGGTCTCATGAGTCTAATGTAATATAAATTGTATTAAAACAATTATATTGCTGTTGAATGTTCAAAGCTCACTTCGTAACAGATAAAAATCTCAGAGACTGTAAAGGAATACTAATTAATAGCAAGTTGTAAACTGCGTGTAGTCTCCAAGAGCCAAAACACCCATATTGATGGAGGCACATCAGCGTTCAGTGATACAATCACCAGAAGCTGAGAGGGCTCCATTTTAAGTAATGAGCTTTCATTTCAGCTCACAACAGAAAAAAAGGAGGATGATGGATGTCATGCTCTTTTCACATAGAAATAAAACACATGGGTGAGTTTGGTCATAGTGCTGAGGGATACTATTTACAGAGATCAAGGGTAACCTCCCATCCTGATCCTGGCAGGAAATTCTCAACTTTGGGGATCCAAGTGGGAGCAAGCAAATCTATGAAAACAACAGGAATTGAGTCAGTATAGGAGGCTGCCGAATGACTGATGCAAGGAGGAAGGAAATGACTAGAATATGAAATAACAGCAGGGAGAGGCTTTGTATGCTCAGCGTGACCAGCAAAGGCTAGTTTCTAGGCAAAATCATTAGCCTGCATTTATGAGTAACCGTGATCTCTTTAACTTTTTATCTGGCTCAGAGGTTTTGCATCAGAGAGTCCAGCTGCATAACTCAGAAACCTGAAATTGTAAAAGGACTGCAAATAGATGCTTAAAGAGGTTAATAATTGCATGCCACACTGGGAAACACTGCCTGGGTGAGCGATGGCTGTGATACACCCAGAGAACCTCCTGAGCGGTGCTACTCACATGGGCCTTGGGGGTGCTGCTCTGCCGGGCACTGGTGCCCAAAGCAGCCAGGGGCTTGCAAGGGCGCATTGGGATGGGGCAGGTGCTGGCACATAGGACACTGCTGGTGCTCAGGTCCGAAAAACTCTCTGGAGATCAGTGGTCCTGGGAGGTCCTGGGAGTTCAGTACAGACACCAGCGGTAAGGGGGGCTCCAGGTGCCTGATGCCCATTACGTCTCGTGACTGGGAGTTGTACCCTGTATCCACAGTCCCCAGCTCTGCTGGGTGTCTGCTTCCTGAGGGTTGCTGTGACTGTGAACTCCTTTGGCTGCTCTCCTCCAATGAGTCCTCAGGAACATCAGACAAGATCTGCTCTGATTTACTGGATTTGTGCCTGGTGTCAGCTGAAAGCTGTGATCTTGGCTGCATGCCTGGTTTGTCCATAGCTGTAAGATGCCTCTTGGAGGGAAATACTCCTGCTATTGATTCACTGGAGGAACAGAAGTGTCCATCTCCATCAGGATCAGTATATTTTGACCACAAGCTGCTGTCCAGCTCAACAGACGGTGCTGACTGATGATATGCTGGTGCTCTGCAAAGGCATGATGGATCGGCCGCAGGCTGAGGTGTTCGAGAAACACATGGCCTCTGGGCCTCCTCATCCTCCATATCCTCTCCAGAAGGGTGCAAAGCCTTTTCCAAGACATGTTCAGGTAACTGGGACCATGGTATGGATTCATCCACTTCAACTGGTATGCTTCGTCCCACAAAAGTCCCTGAAAAATTGAAAGAAGAAACACTGTAGATGGACAGCCATGTAGGCAAACGCCTATCCTCAGTCATCATTCAGTGACTGTGAGCTGGAGTACTGAAAAGCAGTATGTATTCTTTATATTCTTTATATTTTAATATTTTTTTAAAAAGATGGTAGAAAACAGCAAGAAAGGTCTGGGTGACTTTTGGAAAAACAAAAAAGTAGAGGGTTAGCTGAAAGGTGGCTAGTACAGAGTTATAATTTGGACTAACCTGACACAGAGGCCATTTCCAAGTTTTGTAGTTGAACTGGAAGCGAGTCAGCTGCCTTACTGCAAGGCCAGGATTTTTCAGCAGGCTGGAAAACAAGAGAAAGGGCTCTTGTGAACATGGTACAGTTTCACATGGACAATAATCCTAAAATAACTCTGTCTGAAAAAGAAATACCAGTTAAAGTTTTGGAAATCGTGTTGTGCAAATCAGTTGTTTTTATGGGAGTTCTGGAACTTACTGTTCCTGCTGAGACTGGAGATGGGCAAAAGCAGATGGACTGTCTCTCAAAGGTAATTTCTGCACCTGACAACAGATCAAACTACTTAGGTCTGGCGGTTTGGTTTAGGCATAATCCAGGGAATTCAATCACTTGCAATTATTTTACTCCTGACCTTCTAATAATAGCTTCATGCTGATGCCTCAGATCTAAACTTCACCACACACCTAGCTGAGTAATTTCAACTCCAAAGCTTGTTTCCAATTGTGGCTGCTTATTTTATCATACCACTTCATCCAGCCTATTATCATATGACTCTTGTTATTTTAAATTATTGAAAATTAAAGGGCAATTTAGAGAGATTAGTTACTGTTCGGAATTTTTCCCCCTTCCTTCAGAATTGACCTGGGACCAAACATGGGCCCAAATCAAAGTTATCACTTCCTTTTGGGAGTGCTGTCAGTAAATTTGGTCCAGACAAGTGATGCCCAATGATGGACAGTGCTGCTTCACCCTCCCTCAGAACGACAGCAGCAGTGATGGGTAAATGCTGAGTGGGCTTCAGGAAGCGCAGCCATCTTCATCCTCTTACAGAGTGCTGATTAGCTTCCTGCCAGCAAATTTTATCTCTTACCATGGAGTATAGAGAAATAAGCCCAGTGGTCATCATTTCCCCAGTCATTTACCTTCTATCACATTGAAGGAGCTGAAATCCCAAGTAGGAGAGTTATCAGAAGAGAGTGGACTAAGCACTCAAGCA